TCCTGAACAAGTGGTGGGGTGGAAATCCAACTGAATACACGTCCCGATCCCAAGTACATGTGTACAAAAATCCTGCTGCGCCACACCTGCTTTTACATTCGTAACTTTATTAGAAGATGATGCGGCTTTGGGGTTTATTTTACCCCCGTTGTCCCGTATTTGCCAGCTGACCCTTCTCCCTGCCTCATTTCGTCTGCAGTACACGTTTTGCCAGCCTGCTTTTTCTCCTTGGAAAGATCCCGAGTGAGCAAGGCAGGGAGGAGGCCGGGCGTTGGAAACCGATGTGCGCCTGCTTTGTTCTTTGACCCTTATTCTCGTTCCAGTGTCCTCAGATGAAGTAGATTCCAACCCACATCTCTACACTTTTTGTGGGTCTGTCTTTTTCTTTCCTTCTCCCTCCCCTCCTTGCTTTCTTGTTGCAGCACCTTGGAATGTCAGCCTCACAACGGCTTGACGGACTCGATCCAGAACAGCTCTCGTAGTCTCTAGATGCGAGTCTTGTAATAATCATAAAAAAAAAAAAAATCATTTACCCCTTGCAGGTATCAGTTTACAACAGGCATGCAAAGTTCACTGAGCCATGACAATGATCTGCTATCTCAGGAGTAACTAACACCATAACTAAAGCATAAAAAAAGCAAAATTGCTTTCTGAGTCCACATTTTCCCTTTGCAGGCTTCAGACTCCTGACTTTTTTTTGCTTTTTACTGTGTAAAAAAAGCAAAAAAAAAAAATGAATTGCACAGAAGAGCATGCTGTAACACACTGGAGTCCATTGGAGTTGGGCGGGCAATAAATTTAAATAAATAATGATAATAACACTGGATTTATTTGCAGGGCACTCAGTTGCAGCCTTCAGATAGGCAGCTAATACCCCTTGTCCCAATTTATAACTGGCATTCATGAAAAGTAGTGTCATCCAGAACTAAGATTTCATGCATACAGGCCACAGCTGGGTTTGCAAATTGTGTTAAACCATGATTTGTTTAGTAAGCCAGAGCAGCTGGATTTATACACAGCACAGTCATAAACACAGAAGCACAGACATTGCAAATAAAATGGCTGAGTTTGTAACACATTAAGCCATAACTAAATAAATCATGTTATACCACGGTACTATGGGGGTGGGGAGGGGGGTTGGATTCATGCCTCGTGCTTACTTAAACCATAAAATGGCTTGTTTAGTTTTGTGTGCTAAATGATTGTTTGGAAGTGGTGATTAATATAACTTCAGTTGTCTGGATTTCCTGTGATTCTAGTTTCTTCTTATCTTCGGTCTTCTCTTGGCTGAAATGTCTATTGCTGGTTGTGTTCAGACATCATGTTAAATCCTCATTTAGCATTACCAAATGAGTCCAGCTTTCTTCCACATTCACAGGCTCATTCTCTTTTCTTCTCCCATACAATCTCAAGACGTTTTGGTAATTTCTGCTCCCTGTTTGTGGGCATACATCCTGGAGCAGGATTTCTTAACCTCGGCAACTTTAAGACATGTGGACTTCAACTCCCAGAATTCCCCAGCTAGCTAGCTGGGGAATTCTGGGAGTTGAAGTCCACATGTCTTAAAGTTGCCGAGGTTAAGAAATCCTGCTCCTTAATTAATTAATTAATAAGACATGTGGACTTCAACTCTTAATTAATTAATTAATCTTGCTCTGCTAAGGTTCTGCTAAGGTGCTCTAAGACAGGGTTTCACAACCTCGGCAAGAGTGTGGACTTCAACTCCCAGAATTCCCCAGCTAGCTAGCTGGGGAATTCTGGGAGTTGAAGTCCACACTCTTGCCAAGGTTGTGAAACCCTGTCTTAGAGCACCTTAGCAGAACCTTAGCAGAGCAAGAAACACTGATTTGATACAGGTTTGTTTTCCCTGACCAAGCCATGGCACATCGATTCTGCGGGCCAGCCTTGCGCAACACCGTGTCCTCCCAATGATTTGAACTTCAGCTCCCAGAATCCCTAGCCCACGCAAGGCATCAAGAAGGTTTCAAGTTGGGGAAGGGTTAGGGGTAAACATTGTGGGTGGCTGCAGTCCAAAACTTCATTCAGAAGAGTTGTGACTGCCCACTGGGGCAGCAAAGTTATGAACGAGGAAGATCTCTCTACCCATAGCACCCGTATCTCCAGAGTCCATATGTACCTTCTCTTGGTTCAGAAAAGCGACCTCCTCCTGCCTTACTATAATCCTGTGAGGTAGGCTGATACACTAAGAAGAATGAACTCCTGGCTGTAAATTTAATGCATCCTATTGGCTTTTTTCAGGTTAGCGAGCCGGCGCTGTCTCTGTGTCCGCCTCAGCCCGAGATCCTCCATGCAGCAGTAAGTTTCTAACGCTGTCGAAAAAGGCGATCAGTGATCAATTCCTCAAGTCTTTGCAAGGGTTTTCTCCCTCACCCGTCTGTTCTTCCTTTCATTTTGCCCTAACGCTAACTGACAGAGGTTTAACGCTGTAGCACACGTTGCAAGAGAACCTACAGCGGCTTCTTGTGAGTAGTTACGATGCTATAAATTAGATGGAGGCCCCCAGATCAAACCGTGTTGACTCCCCTTTGGCCCTGTAGCCACACACCTGCTTTCCTTTTAATGTGATTTATTTGCAATTCTGGTCCCTGACCATAAGAAAAAATATCCATTCATTCGTTCATTAAAAGAAATACAGTAGTACCTCTATTTACGAACTTAATCCGTTCCGTGACTCTGATCGCAAGTCGAGTTGGTCGCAAGTTGAAGTAAATTTTCCCATAAAGTTCAATGTAATTACCATTAATTCGTTCCGGCATCCGCGGATCACACGTCAGGGGCGGAAAATGGCCGCGGACCACGTGGCACGGGCGGAAAAATGGCCGCGGACCACGTGGCACGGGCGGAAAAATGGCCGCGGACCACGTGGCACGGGCGGAAAAATGGCCGCGGACCACGTGGCACGGGCGGAAAAATGGCCGCGGACCACGTGGCACGGGCGGAAAAATGGCCGCGGACCACGTGGCACGGGCGGAAAAATGGCCGCGGACCACGTGGCACGGGCGGAAAAATGGCCGCGGACCACGTGGCACGGGCGGAAAAATGGCCGCGGACCACGTGGCACGGGCGGAAAAATGGCCGCGGACCACGTGGCACGGGCGGAAAAATGGCCGCGGACCACGTGGCACGGGCGGAAAAATGGCCGCGGACCACGTGGCACGGGCGGAAAAATGGCCGCGGACCACGTGGAACGGGCGGAAAATGGCTGCGGATCCGGTTCGTAATTCGAAGCGAGTTCGTAAGTAGAGGTAAATTTTTGGGGCCGGAGCTGGTCGTATCTCGAAAAATTCGTAAGTAGGGGCGTTCGTAAGTAGAGGTACCACTGTATAAGTAAATCTACTACCCTGTGACTCCTCATTACTGGTATGTTTTGGGCCTCCCTCCTAACATGTTCTCGATGGTTCTGTTCCAGAGTGCTCCCCATGGCGACGACCGCGAAGGAAGAAATGGCTCGTTTTTGGGAAAAGAACACCCAGTCAAAACGCCCGCTGTCCCCTCATCTCACCATTTACAAGTAAGATGCTGTTTGTTCAGTGAGATCTGGAGTACCTCGGATTGCCTGCACCGAGCTGCTCCCTTGGGGGGGAAAGATTGCCACCCCTTTTGGAAAGTTGACCCAAATGGGACAGGCTGGTTGGGACAGGCCAGCCCCCTGTCTACCTGGGAGCCCCGATTTCTGTGGAAAGTTGGTCAGCAGCATTTGCCATTTACAGCAAAGCTCATAATGTTAATTGTTTTCTCTTTAAGTCCTGGTTTGTTCCTCTGCCCATCGAGGATTTTTGCCCGTGTGATCCTCTCATTCCTCAGCCTCCTCCACAGATTCCAGTGTTCCTTCTCTTTTTCCTCTGGTGGGATTCCTTGAATAATTTGGAGTGGGGACATGAAAAGGGCTGGAATAGTTTGCCTGCTCCTGGCCAAAGCTTAAAGGGCCCTTCACGCTCAAGATCCTACCTACCCTTTCCACCACCTTCCTTCATGTCTTTCCCCAAACCTGTCTCTTGATGCTTTTTTGGCTGCATACAAGCCTTCCCCAGAAAGGGAAAATTCACACAGAAACAAGAGCAGAAAATATGTGTTTCCAGCATGACTATTCCTTTAGCTAATTTTCACGCCCTGAATCCAGAACCACCAAGCCGGATTGCGTTATCCACAAGCCCATGTTTGTTCTTTGAGAAGATCCTGAATGTTTTCTGCCTGTTTAACGGCTAAGCCTTTTTACCTTGAGAGCAGGTAAGAACTGGGATTGACCAGTTAGAAGCCAACTTAGCAGGTCAGATTTCTTCAAGGTGATCTAGTTCCGATCTGCTCGCTTCAGAATTTCCCCGTTAGTAACTCCAGCTTCCACTTGCTTCCACTTGCACAGAGCAGTTAAAAAAGTAAATGAATGAAATTATAACATCATTTTGTCTAGACCTGCGTTTCTCAAACTGGATGACTTTAAGATGTGTGGACTTCAACTCCCAGAATTCCCCAGCCAGCCAGGCTGGCTGGGGAATTCTGGAAGTTGAAGTCCACACATCTTAAAGTCACCAAGTTTGAGAAACACTGGTCTGGAGCATCTGCATTCCCAACCTGGGCTTCCTGCAGATGTGGGCTTCATTCCCAGAAAATTCAATTACAGCCATGCTGCAGACTTTTTTTAAAATTTAAAGTGGGGCAAAGAGGTATCAGCACAGCAGTTCCTGTGTGTCAACTCTCACCAGCTTCTCCCTTTCTTTTTAGATGGCCCCTCCCCATGGCAATGTCCATCATTCACCGCGGTACCGGAGTGGGAATGAGTTTAGGTGCGTCCTGGTTTTCTTCCTCCTCTCAATCTTTTGCCTTGATTTGCCAGCAACTTTCAAACAGGGAGCGGGAAATATTTCAGCCCTGCTGCGATGGGGTTGCAGCTCTCCCAAAGTCTGGGTTGGCAGGCCCCCAGATGAAGGATCCTAGGTTTTCTCGCTTGGAAACCCCATTTTGGGAAGAAATGTAGAGCTGATTTTGAGAACAGGGAAGGGAGAAGCGAGCTGTTAAATGGGGAATCACCGAAAAGATTCCACAGTCCTGAGAAACAGAAAGTGTGAGAAAGAAATTCCAAATAACCTTGCCTTGATTTTGATTAGTAAGTTGGGGCAGAGAGAAGCTTAAACAGGGGTCAATATTCTGTTGTTCTGCCTAGCTGCCCTAAAGAGTATTTCTGTAATCCCTACCCTGCCTCCTTCATGACCCAGCCTCCCTCAAAGGGCTGACACATCTGGAAAGGAAAAGATTTCCCACCCCAACTTCTCTCTCGATTTGCATTAATGACTCATTTCGGTCATTGAGCAGCAAAACAAGAACGAAAAGGTCCCAATTGATTAGAGTAAAACACGCTATTAACAATGCAAGTAAAACTGAAAGTTTAAGAATTTGGGGTGTAAAAATTAATGAAGTATGATACAATTTATATAAGGCAACTAAATACTTGTTTAGAATAACAGAAGAGTAAAATTACCAACTTGAAATATATAGAAGTATTATAATACTGAAAGCTATGGAAAAGCTCTAATTAATATTATTATATTTAAAGAAATGTAGTGATGTGATGTATAAGGAAGGATAATAATACATAAGGAATAATTATGGTTTCAAAACTAAAAGTTAGAGTCCAATTACAGTGACTGTTTAGTTTCTACTTTTTATCAATGTTTTATGTCCTGAGTTATTTTAATCTACATGGTTAAAATAACTCAGGCAGCTAATGAAATTAAGACAGAAATAAGATTCAATTGACAATACGGACATAAAACATTGATAAAAAGTAGAAACTAAATGGATAACTGCATTTGAAATCTTTCTAAACAGAAAATTCTGGGAGTTGAAGTGGCCAAGGTTGAGAAACACTGGCATAAAGGGAGCAATACAATATAACATGTTCCAGTGTTTCAATTGCTCCTCCAATGCATGGGCACAATCTCCGTTCAAAAGGGATGTTGCATTATAGGTAGTCCTCAACTTAGGACCATTCGTTTAACAACCATTCGAAGTTACGACAGTGCTGAAAAAAGTGACTTATGACTGGTCCTCACACTTATGACTGTTACAGCGTCCCCACAGTCACAGGATCAAAATTTGGGTGCTTGGCAACCAGCATGCATTTACAACGATTGCAGCGTTCTGGGGTCACGTGATCGCCATTTGCGACCTTCCCAGGGGGCTTCCAACAAGCAAAGTCAGTGGGGGAAGCCGGATTCGCTTAATGACCGTAGCAAAAAAGTTCGTAAAATTGAGCGTGACTCAATGACCACATCGCTTAGCGATGGATGTTCCAGTGCCAATTGCAGTCATGAGGACTACCTGTAATGACACTGTGAATGGCGAAAGGGACGACCCTTCATTTGAACTGGGATTTTCAAATATCCGTTCTTTAAGTGAAAAGCTTGACCAAAAATTATGCTCAGCGTGGAAATGTGCCTTTTTCCAGTTCCTTCACCATTCCAGATCTGAATTATATGGCTGGTGACCTTTTTACACATGGTTTTAAAGCCTGAAGTGGGGTTCAGGGTCGACGGGCCAGTTTCGTTTTACTTCATCTGATGAGCCGCTTCTGAGAAATAGCTGAGAGCATAAATGCAATAACTTTTAATAAAAGTATTAATTGAATCGTAGGCAAGAGTAACCATCAGGAGAACTGGTTATTATGTTCTTGCTGGATGTGTTTTTCCACCAGGAGTGTCATTCTTCGCCTTAAGTGCACTGGTCCTTCCTGGACAATTTCCTGATTACCTGGAGTTGGTCAAGTCGCTCAGCCTAGGGCCCGCTCTGATTTATTCTGCAAAATTCGCTTTAGCTCTACCCTTAACCTACCACACCTGGAATGGGATTCGGCATCTGGTAAGCCGCCTTCTGAGCAACCGTACTAAACCTAGTAATAATAATTGTGGCTTGCAGCTGGGAATTCTGGCCCTGTGGCTCAGTGCTACTTTTTCCAAGCTGGGGGCCCCGCAGGGTTAGAGTAACTGGTTGGGGATCATCTTCCCCCCACGTGGGCAAGGCCAGGAGAAAATTTCGAATACGTACCTTTAATTTATAGTTGCATTTCATTGGAAGTTAGCTAGTCAAATACAGTCGGCGTGATGGTTTTTCTAGAAGTTTTTCCTTTTGCCACATTAGCTATTTGTCTCTCTTTCTCAAATGATGCCTACTCCATTTTTAAACCTTCATCTGAGCAAGCATTTAGCACTCTTTTAATGGCAGATTCTTGATGAGGCCATCTTTCTAAGGTTTCCCAGTTGGGTTCATTTTGGGGTTTTGGCATCGGGGTTTTTGATCGGGGCAAGCTGCGGCTCCCGTCCGGTTACCTTCTGGCGCATCAAGCCACTTGTCTCCTTCTTTTGTAGGCATGGGACATGGGCAAAGGCTTCAAAATGCCCCAGGTTTACCAGTCTGGAGTCCTCGTCCTCGTCCTGACGGCTCTTTCTTCCCTTGGGATTGCCGCTATGTGAAGTTGGCGGCGGAGACTCTCCTCGGTCCCCAACTTCCCCACTTTGCATCCTTCGACTCCTGAGAAGTTGGGTTCAATCAGGACTTCCGGAAGCATTTGCCCAGTTGGTTGATTAGAGAAATAATCGGGTGAGGGAAAAGGGCTGGGATGAGCAGAACCCCCATTGTCGCACACGGTTGTAATCTGAAAGGAGACAGTTCTGTTTGGAACCTTGTAGAGCTTTGTAGAGCTTTGTGATTATTATTTTTCTTCATTGCGATATGTCACAGTTTTGCCAGAGGGACTCTCTCGGGGCTCTTCCCCGGCTGAGGCCTAAAAGCACACCAGCACGAGACTCGAGAATGGCTAAACGCAGATGGGCTAAGAAACTGACATTCCCCACAGGGCAGCGTGAACCGTCTGCCTTTACTCTTTTTAGCCCTCTCCTTTGGCAGAACAATCCTTTTCTTTGTCCCCCACGGGGAGGGGAGCACTCCAGGGCAGCGTGCAAGCAGGCGTGGGGGGCCGCATTTTGAAAGGGACAACGTTATCCATTGAAAGCAGGCTGGCGCTAAGAGTCACAACAGCAGTTGGCCACCCCCAGCCTGACTGATGTTTTTCCCACGTGGGCCAATGGCTCCGTGGGTGGAGGTGTGCTGAAACATTGCACGGTTTCCTTTGTGCGGTTAGCCACCCTGTGCAGGACTGCCCAGGAGAAAGGAAGTAGCAGTAACCCTGCGTTTGGCTTTTGGGAGACAGCCTTTCTGGCCCCGTTGAATTAATCGTTTCTGGTGGTCAGCCGTTTGCTTCTGAGCCAAGAAAAAGGACAAATGTAGAGCTTTCCAGAACATAGAGCCACCCATGCATCTTCTGTAAATACGTACACTTATATTTTACTTTTCCTCTCGTGAACGATTAGAGGCGGACAGCCCCTTTCCTGAAATTACGTTTCTTCTCCCTGGGTTTTGACCCGATGAAGTTCTTCCTGTTAATAAAAATTTGGAGAAAAACTTGTCTGGCTGTCTTCTGGGGGGACAGGCAACAAGGACGGGGGGATCTTTTCACATTTCAGCTAGCCATCGGGACAGGCCAGTTCAGCCCATCCTCAGCCAACACCTTCCAGATATGGACTTCAATTCCCTCTCTCTTCTGTGGTAATGCTAAATGTCACCTAAGGAGTTATGTCACGGTGAAGTTTCCACTTGTAGTCACCTTCTCCAACTGGGGCGTCTTCCAGGTATGTGAACTTCAGTCCCCCCAATTTCCCAGCTGGCGTGGCCACTGCTGAGATTCTGGGTGATCCAGGCTGGGTGGACTTCAACTCCCAGGATTCCCCAGCCGGCATGGCCACTCTGCTGGGAATTCTGGGAGCTGAAGACTCTCCTTCAGGTATGTGGACTTCTGTTAACAGAATTTTGTAGCCGGCTTGGCTGCGGCTGGGAATTCTGGAGTAAATCTGGAGTAAAGGGGGTGCCTACTTGATGGTGCTGTCAGTACCTCAAACCAGATGAAAATGTCAAGCAGAGAAATGCAGACTTCCCCCGCCAGCTAGGTGGTAATTCACATTCAAATGGTAAAAACAG